GAATAAGTCATCGAACAGTCTGTCGGTGTCGTCGAACCTCTCGCGCTCGATATCGTCGCCAAACATCGCTCAGCTGTTGGAGAAGGAGATGAATGGCAAACATATGGATAACATCGATACGAACGAAGGGAAGGAGCGTTCGATGACAACGCCATCGCAGCCACAGTTCGATCGAACGCTTAAACCGGCCATAAATCGGGAAAAATTGTATTTTAACGACTCGACTGTAATCGAGGATAAAGTGCGCGACTTTTGTCCGGTGCGAAGCGGCGGCACATCAATCACTGGACTCAAGAATTTGGGAAATACCTGTTACTCCAATGCCGTCGTTCAGTGTTTGTTGAATACAACAGAGTTTTCGTCGTTTTTTAGCAGAAACTTGAAAATTAACAAAAACTCAAAGTACGGCTCAAATGGTGAACTGGTTATGGAATTGGCGGCACTTTTCCGTCATATGGCTTATCCATCGTTTTATACAATGCTTTCGGCCAAAGACTTCAGGCAAGCGGTGAGCAAACATATAAAGGACTTCGTGCCCGGAGCTCAACAGGACTCACACGAGTTCTTAGTGAAACTCTTTGAGAAACTGCACGACGACTTGAATGAGTCCACCAAATGGGATGTCATCAACACCGGGGTGTCTGAAGGGCTCAGTTTGGACGCCCGGGCCATGAAGTTCTGGAAACAGCATATATCTAAAAACAACTCTATTATATCGCAACTCTTTGAGGGACTAATAGTGAACACATTGAGTTGTTTGAAGTGCGGCGAGAAGTCGGACTCTTTCGAGGTGTTCAGCTGTCTATCGTTGCCGATCGGCAACAGCCGAACCACACTAACCGAGTGTCTCAACCAATACTTCAAACCAGAGCGCATGTCTGGGGAGACCGCTTGGGAGTGTCCGACGTGTAAACAGAAGAGAGAGGCCGACAAACGGCTTCAGCTCTGGAAACTGCCCAAAATATTAATCGTTCACTTGAAAAGGTATGAACACAATCAGTGCAGCCATTCATTCATTCATCACATTTTGTTTATGAATACAGGTTTTCAATTGAAGGCCGCTATAAACTGAGAACTTATGTGGACTTTCCCATCAATGATCTGCCGATGCGAACCATACAAAGTGCGAATCCAATCCAATACAGTCTGTATGGAGTAGTGAACCATTTCGGGACACTAGAAGGCGGTCACTACACGGCCTTGAGCAAACATATAAAGGACTTCGTGCCCGGAGCTCAACAGGACTCACACGAGTTCTTAGTGAAACTCTTTGAGAAACTGCACGACGACTTGAATGAGTCCACCAAATGGGATGTCATCAACACCGGGATATCTGAAGGTCTCAGTTTGGACGCCCGGGCCATGAAGTTCTGGAAACAGCATATGTCTAAAAACAACTCTATTATATCGCAACTCTTTGAGGGACTAATAGTGAACACATTGAGTTGTTTGAAGTGCGGCGAGAAGTCGGACTCTTTCGAGGTGTTCAGCTGTCTATCGCTGCCGATCGGCAACAGCCGAACCACACTAACCGAGTGTCTCAACCAATACTTCAAACCGGAGCGCATGTCAGGAGAGACCGCGTGGGAGTGCCCGACGTGTAAACAGAAGAGAGAGGCCGACAAACGGCTTCAGCTCTGGAAACTGCCCAAAATATTAATCGTTCACTTGAAAAGGTATGAACGCAATGAGTGCAGCCATTCATTCATTCATCACATTTTGTTTATGAATACAGGTTTTCAATCGAAGGCCGCTATAAACTTCGGACTTATGTGGACTTTCCCATCAATGATCTGCCGATGCGAACCATACAAAGTGCGAATCCAATCCAATACAGTCTGTATGGAGTAGTGAACCATTTCGGGACACTAGAAGGCGGTCACTACACGGCCTTCTCTCACAACCAAAACAAATACAAATGGCATAAGTTTGACGACCAGGACGTGACCCAAACCAATCCGGCAGAAGTCAAGTCAGAGAGCGCGTATATACTGTTCTACAGGTGCTGCTAACACACGACCCCCTCCTTCCACTTCAGATCAATTACTATTTCGATATACATTACCATTCAATCAGTTATCAAATTGTTTTGTTTTGCAACCAAAAGAAAACAGAGTTCACAACAAAATACAAATTCAAGTTATATTTTAAATACAATACAAAAGCTTTATTTTTAAGTTTTAAACAATGTCTAAATAAAATCTACATTTTTTAGTGAATTAATATAAATATTATATATTTGAATGTATTTTACAAAATGAACGGATATTTAAAGTCAAATAATTGTATGTATTCTTATATTAATAGTCAATAACTAATAGTTTTAAATAAAGTTTTATTTAAATAAATTATAATAAATTGTCTAAACTTTTTGAGAATTCAAAAGTATTTGCGAGAAATAAATAGTGTTTTGGAAATAATTATCTAATTTATAAGAAATCGAGTGGTTTTTTATAGCTTTTGGTGGCGATCGACAGCTTTTTGCCCGATTGACTCACTTTGAAACGCTTGTCACCGCTGTTTGCCATTGCGTTAAACATCGAGTCCTGTGTGACCTCGAAGTCTAGTTTGCGTTTATGGGTATCCGAGACCTCATCCACTGACAGCTCTTTGATTTTGGAGATCACTTTCGTTTCGCTGTTCTCTGGCCTACACTTCGGACGCGACGACGATGTCTGCGGAGCCATTGTCTGTAACCAATCGCTCAACTCATTGGTCGCCGATTTGTCGTTCACTTTTGAAGTCTCTGTTATCGTAGATTTGGTGCCACTTTTATGGCGCGTATTGTCACCACTTTTGGTCCACTGTTTGTCGTGTATCTCAACGATTGGGTCTTCAATGGGAACGAGCGGTGGATCATCAATGAGTTCCTGACTCTTGGGCTGCGTTTCGTAAGTGTCTGAATCGGGAGTAGAGGCCCAGTCCTGGAACTGTCCCTGATTTGTGCGAATCTTCACTTTGAGTGAGTGATAGGGAGTGACCACTTGTCCGGCAGTAATGCTAATGGGTTTGCCATTGAATGTGAATGAGTCGCGCTCTGCGGCCACAAAACCCGGCGGTTCGTAGTCTTTGGGAGTGATGTCGTCGTAATACATGAGTTTCATCGTTAGGTAACAGTCGGCCGGAAGTCTGTCCAGCGATTGGATCATCACTAACAGCGACCGCAACAACTGAACCGTCGATTGTCTCAACTCTTGGTTCAGAGTCTGTTCGCAAACCACGCGTTCGGTCTTGTCTTTGGTCCTGAAGTGTTGGCCAATCAATCAATCAGTGCTTTTGACCACAAAATGCAATACAAAGCAATGAATACATACACAGAGAGATCGCAATTGAGTTTATTGTTTGTGTCGTAACTGTATCTCAGAGTATAGGCTTCGATGAGCTCTTCGGGCGCCGACGGGTCGGTGAAGACGCCTAAAGTCAGTTGTTTTAAGTACTTCTTCTCCATTGCGTCGAAACAGCCTTCAAATGCACAGCAATTGTTGGGATCAGAGTTGGGATCAGATGCAGTGATGTCTTAGGCATACCTTTAACCCAATGGACAATCTGTTTGGCGCCCACTGTCTGACACTTTTCGGTCAGAATCCTGAGCTTCAAGTGATCCAGTTTTCGGTGTCCATAACAGTCTTCGGTGAACACATTCCTCAGGTATAGGATATTACTGATGGCCACAGCTGTCAGGCGTTTCATGTAATTCAGTGACATCTGTTCCGACACCACAGACAGAGGGAACAGCTGTTGCTGTTGTGACCGCGTCTTCACCGCAAACACATCCACACCATTAGCCATACATTCAATGCATTGAGTCATGCGTTCAATCAATACTCACTTCAGTGTCGCGTTGTTTCTGAAGAGTAGTCATCGTATGAGTCGGCGGTTGTGGTGGTAGTGATGGTCACCACAAGTGAGCGTCACTTCAATTGATCCCAA